AACTTCGAGGTCGTAAATGATTTCACCTCTTTTTTAACCCGTAAAAAAAAAACAATGTCAGCCTGGAAATTTAGCTCGAAATCATTCTCTTCAACAGTTGCTACTTCAGAGTGAGTTAGTAAAGTTCTCTCTATCGCCCAAAGACTAAGCTCGACAAGTCGCTCATCGTTCCCGTCCTGCCATAAGGTGCGGAGGCATGAACAATGATCACATCTGAAGAGTTAGCTTTGGAAGTTTTTGAGAGAAAGGTTTCCCGTAAGATATATAGACCTTTATGAGTTGGGAATGGCTAATACCACAGCCAATGCAACAATGAGCTGTACGATAGAGTGGCTGTATTGGCTAGGTCATTTGGCTCAGATGGATAAGAATGCTCCAGCTTTGAAAGTTTTCGATGTAGTACCCGCCGATGGAAGCAGAGCAAGGCATCCACTCCTTTGAGAAGACCAGGTAGAAAAGGACCTGGTTGTACTTGGTATGTCCAATTGGCGCCAAACGACGAAAAAAGGCAATTAATGTTGTCAACTCAGCAGTAATAATGTCTCCGCTAGTAAAATCACATTTTCCACAAGGGTTCTTCAAGTTTTCATAATGACAGGAAAGGAAAATGGTTTGAATCAAAGAGTAGAAAGAGGAGTATGGAAACACCCGTGGGAGAAGAGATAGAGCCATCAAAATTTATAGCGATCCGGTCAGAACGACGAGTTGAGGTTATTTAGCCATGTCCATAATACGATTTATGATATGTCCGATTTTTCAGATTTGAGATTTCGGGAATCTAAGAGCATGAATTTTTTATAAGACCAAAAAGTTTCCGGATATCGTTTTTTTCGATAATCACGATTTGGTTTACCATGAATTCGTTCCAACGGGACAGACGGTCAATAAAGAGTATTATTTGAGGGTTTTAAGACGTTTGCACGAAAATATCCGTCTTAAGCAGCCGAAGTTTTGAGCTACCAATGCAAGGATTTTTCATGACGATAATGCGCTATCGCACCGAGCTGTAGTTGAGAACGATTTTAAGACCAAACACTCGTTCAATACCATCGATCAACCAACGTATTCACCGGAATTGGCCCCATGCGACTTTTTTGTAACCCAAACTCAAGCTACCACTCCATGGAACCCGTTCCGAATCGATTAAGGCCGTAAAAGAAACTTCGCAGATGTAACTTCAAGCGATCCCAGACAGCGCCTGCAAGTCATTTTTCGCTGATTGAGAAAAAAAGTTGACGTATGTGTATCGCTTCAGAAGAATCATATTTGGAAGGCGACAAAATAAACATTTTTCGCTTCATTTACAATTTCCGAAAACTTGCTAGTCTTAAATATAATCTAAACTTGTACGTATGTATGTAATTAATATGGTCATGAAAGATCTAAAGACTTCGGCATGGCCGCAGAGAGCTTTGTTTTTCTTGTTTTTATTATGCCTTTCCATTTAAATTTTGCTTGTTTGTACTACAAACTAAGCAATCCAATGAATATTACACCAGTAACGGTAATGAGAACTAAATACAATGTGTATTACACAACAATAACAACAACAAAAAAACTTTCAAATACTTGCATACATATTTTTAAATACGTATTTTTAAACGAAATTGCGAACAATGGCACAGTCGGGCCCCTTAATTGCTGCAGAAGCGCTATTTTATAAAAAAGACTACATGTCTACATACATATATAAGAGTATATATACACATTCATACATATATATGTATGTATGTAGATATGTTTATTTTAGTGTTCGCATATACGCGCAGGCTAGTCGACGACGTTCTCACTTCTAATTAGACTAGACTGTGGTCAATTAGATGGTTATATGTGTGTGGGTGTGCGTGTGCTTGTATAAGCATGTGTTGTTGTTGTTGTTGTAAAGTGCATAATATGCCAGCGGCATACTGTGCAACGACTTATAATTATTACCGCATAACTGTCGTAACTTGCATTTTTAGTAATGCAAAATATTTAAATCTACTACTTGTATACACACATCATAATAAATATATATTTAAATACATACATATGTACGCGTATATGTGTGGAAAGTTAATTTTATGCAAGTGAATACTTGAGTATTTGATGTAATAAAATGGTTAGTCAAATTAGTTAAACAAACAAAGCATCGAAGCAAGCATTTCTTATTGTTGTTGTTGTTATTTTAACACATTTCCATGCATACTTACATACTCATATATAGTGATATACAATATATGTACATATATATATGTATATATATACATATGAATATATGTATAGCTGTTTGTTGTTATGCTGTAAGAATTATTACAGTATTTTTTGTCGTCACGACTTTTGCACGTGAATACCGGCAGCTAATGCTACAGCACACACATATATGTATATATATATTACATACGTACATACATGCATACAAGCTATTATTCCTAAAGCATTACTTACCGGTTACTTGAGCCTTTTGCCGCTTTTTCTATTTTATGCGGCAATGTGTGAGCTTAAGTTGTTGTTTGTTGACTTGAGTTGGGATTTCCGACAATTTGAAAACTATTTATATGCAATCATGTTGTTGTTGTTAGTCTTGTAATTATTGCTCATCTTGATTTAATATTTAATTCCAATTTAATTGACATTAATGGCTTAAATAAAGATTCTCAGCGTGTCAATTGTGGGATTACATCGCCGCAGGGAAAGTGACTCACGATTATCTAACGAACTTGAGAGTTACTACATAGTGATGGTAGATGTACTCTGAGTACATTGAGTATAAATTGCATGGGCATGTCCTAAGATGGAATAAATTGTCCCCCTACTGCATTACCTTTCGCTAATCCTTTCTACAGTGCTGAGTAATGAGTCACTTTTCTAGTGCTGAATCACTTCTATTATATATATCATGATTTCAAATACATATGTATGCATATAAATTTATATATTTTTCTCATTTATTTCAAAGGTGTTTCGGTGGGATATGAAGCAGAAGATATTTCCTTTGCTTTGTTCTGGAGTTGAATGGCCTTTCTTAATTAGTCTTCCTCTGAGCCAAAACTCTCATTATTAATTGAAATGGTATCTAAATATACAACAACAACAAATATAAAAATTTTTATATATACGTTTTTACCCACTAACGGCAAGACGTACTTATATATATTAGGTCAAGTAAAAAGTTCGTTCGGGTTTTTTATCTAAGAGATGGCGTTATTTTCCATAGTACTACTGTTACGTGTCGCATCAAGTCATACTGTACGGCGCTGAAAAAGTGTTTATTCGCGCTAAAAGTTTGTCTTTGACAGTTTTTCAATTGATTGACTCAGTAGGTTGTGAGCGCTCGTCAAAGATGGACACCAGCAAAGAGAAAACTCGCTATATTTTACAATTTTTCTTCGATGAAGGCGAAAATGCAGCCAAAGCGGCCGAAAAAATTAATTTAGTTTATGGGCCCGATACTGTAAGCGAACGTGTAGCACAAAAGTGGTTTACTAGGTTCCGTTCCGGTAATTTCGATGTAAGGGATGCACTACGTCGGGAGGTCTGCCGTCGAAAATTGCGATAAAATCATGGAAATAGCACTAAAGTACCTTCGCCAATTGAAATAACTAAATAGTTACTCATACGCACTGTCCTACTCGTTAGCTATTTTCATTTGCTCACGTCTACCGAAGTGCTGGTGGGCAATCTATAAAATTAAAACAAACTCTAAGTGTTAAGAAAAACTGACACGATGATGATCATCGTCTTGCAGTGAGAGTGAGAAGACTGCCTATCTCGTAGCGTTGCGCTTGACCACTACCGAGAATTGAAAAGAGAAGCAAGACGCCGACAAAGGTAGCGCTCAAAAATTCTATGAAAAGCTGCGGCGAGTCGTAGAAGATTTCATGACCGGATCAAAACTCTTGTAGGGCCTAGAGCGGTAGTCTATTGAGTGATGTCTAGAGTAAAGTAAACTTATTGTATGTACACTTCTCCCGCCTGCTGAATGGCAGTGAAAATGAAAAAACCGGAGATAATGAACCCGAAACTTCAACTGATGACGTTGGAAAAGTTGTTGAAGAAGTACGAATAGCAATCGCCCACTTGGAAAGTAACAAAGCGGCGTGAGCCGATGGACTACCGGCCGGGCTATTTTAATACGACGACGCAGAATTGATAAGGTGCATGCAGCAGTTTCTTTGCAGAATATGATCGGTGGAAAGCATGCCTTACGATCGAAACCTAAATATGCTCTGCCCAATCCACAAAAATGGGTCAGTCTGTGCCAATTATCGTGCGAGAAGACTCCTCAATATCGATATAGAGGTAGAGCCCTACGTCAACAAACTGATTGGACTTCATTAGTGATGCTTTAGACCTGGTAAACCACGATTGACTAGATATTTACCATGCGCCAAATCTTGGAAAATACCCGAAAAAAAGTATCGACACGCAGCACGGTCCGAATTGATAAGAATACTTCAGCTTTGAAGGCTTTCGATGCAGCACCCGCTGGTAGAAGTAGAGGAAGAGATCAGAAGTATTTGGCTACACTTGGTATTTTCATTTGGCGCTAGACTACGAAAAGTATAATCTCGTAAGTGGTGTGTACGTCAGTAAAGAAAGAAGAAGAAGCTAACTAAATGAAGCTTTTAAAACTCGTGAATTTTTCTTATATAAAAAGATTTAATTGTTTCCCTAGCTAATATGGTGGGAAGCTATTTACTAAATTACGTATTTGGACAGGCTGGATGAGAGAGCCTTCAGACGTTCACTAAGGATTAGCAAAGCACTCAAAACAACACCTTTTTACAGCACGATGTGCGATTTTGAGCAATTCACCAGCAAATTGAGTAGCTAAAATCAGGGAATTCGATTCTAATGCGAGGCTATGCAGTTCTAGGCAACTGGGAACCAGGACTTAAAGGCAAGGTAGTATAGCACTACCCACAGACGTACGAATAGACGTGATCCCGAGCTGTTGTTAGCTGCAAAGCTACTACAGGGTGCCGGCTTTCAAAGAAAATTATTGTGTTAAAAATAAATTATTATTAAAAAACTAAAAATCCAAATATTTAATGAAAATCTTTTTGATATAGTCTGCAGAAGGAGGACAAAACATGAAAAATGTCAAATTGAACATTTTATTTTCTGCCCTTTTTCCCATCATCACATTCCTCAGCTTTCCGTGCCTTCTTCTTTACTGGTTTCTCCGGTTTCTTTTCTGACTTCTTCGCTGTTTTCTTTTCAGCTGATTTGGCTTTCTTGTCGGCTTTAGCCGGCTTTTGTTCTTTGCCTTTTTTTGGAGTCCTAGAGCGCCGTGGCTTATAATACCTATATTTGCAGAGATTCATAAAAATGTATGTATTAAAATATGTATGTATTAGAGCAAAAAGTAAAAATTTAATACACTCTAAATGTAAACTCACCTCTCCGACTTCGGTATTGATTTGTGGCACATACAGGCATTCATTAAATGAAAGATACCAGAGCACACGCTTAAAGCGCCAGCGGCCACCAAAATGAATTGTGCATAATAACCACAGAATGCCAGCATTACCAATATGAGACCCAGGCCGATCAAAAGGCAAAGTACACCCATTAAAAAGTTGAACATGACACCCTGTTGACGGAAAAAGATGGTGAAGAAAATGCGAGATGTAAACGCGTCTTACCAACGGATCAATGCCCAGCGTATGTAATTTCGGTGTAAGAAGAACATAACAGACATCCGGTATGAAGGCGGAGAATATGAAGAGCAGAAATATGAACACAGGGCCACTGACCTCGTTGCCCAGTACGCAACTGGAAAAGAGTGTACAATATATAACGGCGCCTATAGCGATACCTTCCAAGATCTGAGGGAAATTGGGACAAGAATTAATTTTTTTCCGCTTCTCTTGTTGTCATATTCTCTTTTATATTCACCATATTCAATGTGAAGAAAAATTTACTCTTCCTTCGTTTCTTTCTATATTGATCCATCGCGACGACGTGTATGTTCTACGTAAGATGCAGAAACGGTAGGTAAAATAAGAAAACTAGAAAACGACCGAGTTGAAAAACAAATTGTCGGGAAAAAGAAATATTCAAATATTATGAATTCTTTGGTATTTCGCTTTTGACAGAGTTCTCTTTTTTCTTGTTTTACACTCAGCTTAGAGCTTGCGATCATTTACAGAGAGTTTCATAGATTGCCTAAGTTTAACATGGACTCAATAAACTTCGATATTACGCTTATCAGACGTTGAAATAATAAGTCTTCTCTCTACACCATTTGAGGTTAGCGTAAAAGCTTCATTTATTTAATTCGAAATATTGGACTTGACAACCTCTCCTGCCGGTTATGGTTGCAAGAATTTACCCGCGGTAAGGCATGCATGCTTGATATTTATCGCATCGTTAGTTTTGTTTTCTCCAAACCGGATAAGAAAACGAGACGAATCAGTCTGCTAGTGCTTATGGAAAAGACCAAATATTTACTGTAATTAAGGAAATAGTCAGTCCTAACTTGGCTCCCACGTCACTATTGACTGTCATAACGTTGAAATCGTAAATAATTTCGTCTGTCTTGGAACCAGCATAATAAGCGATGAAAATGTCAGCCCTGAAATCCAACACAGAATCATTTTATCTTTCAGGTGTTACATTGGACTGAGTAGCCAAATGCCACCCTGTATTTAAATTGTATTGAAAGAGTCTGTGAAGTTGTCTTGTATAGTGTTTCCTAAATTAAATACCATGCGAGTCGATCTCTTATTACATGTCTTGAAGTGACGATAGAACCGAAGGTTTTTCTGAATGAGAATTTTTAAATAGGAATTTCGATTTGAAAAACCTTCGTAGTCCCCAGCATCAAACTACTAAAGTTTCTCATGGCACAGAAAAGGCAGGGGCGATCCGTTACATAGGAAGATAACAATAGTGCCTTTATTTTCCGGTATTGATTTCGGTACCAAAGGGGTCTGATGTAGCACCCGTTTTTTCAGTTTCTGCTCTGTTGGATAAAAGTTAACGATTACATTCGCTATTTGGCCGGTACCGTGACAATTCTATAATGCTATAGCCAAGTCAAAAGAGGCTTTAGATCTTCAATATCTTATACACGTTTTTGTCACACAATAATCTTCGAACTGCAATCTGCTTATCAACGAAAAAAGAAAGTGAAATCCGAAATTCGACTATAGAGTTTGTGATATAATTATCAGGTGTACAACTTTGATTCCGCCGTTTTTTTCCAAATTAAAAGCTTTATTGCGAAAAAGTGCTTACACATATATTATTCAAAGCGACAACTTTCTCCCATCTTTCCGGCAATTTTCGGATCCCGGCTCGAAAAAAGGAGTCCCCCTTTGACGCTATCCATGAAGCAATCCAATTTCCCAATTCTTAGAAGGATTAAAAATGTTGATCTACCAGGCCGTGTGCCATCGAACGGAATAGGTGGAAGTCGGAAGGGGCGACATCTGGGGAATACGGCGGGTGGGGTAAGACTTCCCATTTCAGCGTTTTCAGGTAATTTTTGACCACTTTTGCGACGTGAGGCCGATCATTGTCGTGTTGGAGTATGACTTTGTCATGTCGCTCTTGATATTGTGGCCGCTCTTCTTTTAGCGCTCGACTAAGGCGCATTAGAGCTCGTAGTAAATCTTTAAAGGTTTTTTCTCGTCCACCACCATGTTTGTCTTCGACATCGAAATCACCATTTTTAAAACGTTGGAACCACTCCCGACTCGTTCTTTCACTAAGAGCACTTCGATGCGCTTCAGCTGCATTTTTTTTTTCGAATTGTAACAGAAAAGTAAAACTTCCCGCAAATGTCGAGAATTAGGCACATAAACGGACATTTTCGAGCGTGAATAATACGAAAACAAGAACAACTGTCACTGAAACGGCGATGACAATTCCTTAGGCACTGTCCACACTCACTTTAATGGCATTATCATCTACGTATTTCAACCAGCCTCAGCCGGTACAGCCACCTATCGGAAAACGGCGGAAGCAAATTTGTACACCTGATAGTCACCTGGTTTGGTCTTTAACGAAACCCATAGAGCACTGTTTCATGTTAAGAGATCAGTGCAAAGTTTTTCATGGGGAAGTCTTAATTAATATGACACCAAATCAAGTCAAGGATATACCCGTAGTTCATCACCGTTTGAACGCCTCGATCGCTTACTAAATAATCAAGAGCCGAACTCTTTAGGACATTATCGAACTGAACGGACTCTCTTCTATATGGACTCATCTCCTCAGGAATATTAAGGAAAACTCTAAGGAAAATGAGCTTACCGGGAAAGACACGACTTAGTAGGTTCTTATCAATAAGGAGAACATTACAAAACTTTTATTAAATTACCTTTGAAAAAGTTTCTGCTAACAGGTGCTGCGGAATCTGCAAGAACGATGACGAGGAAGAAGCGATCTCTCATCTTGTATATGTCTGCCTTCGATCAAAGCAACACTCCTATATCTAAGAGCTACCTCCACTGGGTGCTATCAAATCTTGGCGATCTGTTCAACCATTTTTATTACTTCCAGAAGAATAGGTGAATAAAGTACTCCGCAATGCTGACTGTAAAGTTTATTATTAAATAAGTTGGCGCCCAAAGGCTCTACATAACTTATAAGAAATTTAGCCTCTGGTACAAGCTACTTTGAGCCAAATAGAGATTCGCCATCATCGAGATTTTCTTTGACAAACCAAATGAATACCAAATGAATTATGCCAGCAATGAGTTCTAATATAGCGCTTATCAGCACAAGCGACTGCGCAGGATTTCCACAACCAGTGAGCGAGACAAAGCCGCAGATGGCAGCGGATATGCATACCACGCCCATTACAATGTTATAACAGCCACCCTGAAGGAATGGGAAATGTATTTAGAAATCTCGACACTTTCGCCTGCTTTATCTGTCAAACAGTGACCCCAACTTACCATTGAGGCATAGAATGGATCGGATATCAGTACACCCATAACGGCGTACATAATATCCGGTATTGCGGGCACGAAGACTAAATGAAAGCACCACCAAATTAAGGTAGAAATCTCAGCGCCACCAACGCACTCCGACTCAAACGTCTTGTATAGCAGCAGGCAGGAGACAATTTCAAGTATCTGCTCGTGCGGATGTAAAAGAAAAATAATTTATTTTGTCAAGGAACTGATTCATTCGAGACACTCACGAAGCACACGACGTATACCACGCCCGAGATGATGCAGCGCTGCACGTGCGTTAACTCAAGCGCCATTGCGGAAAATCAATGATGTGATGGCGATTCAAAATAAAATTCCTCAAATTTGTCAATATTTTTGTTTTGCTTCAAATTTAATTCAATAGAAATGTAGATAAAATGACGACATGGCTTTTGAAATTTATTGTACAGCTTGTAAACTTAGCATCATTAAGGTTAAGGTTAATTACCATTATGCTGATCGGTTGTCCGTTCTTTACCTCTTCCAAGTAGACTCTTAGTCAAAAATCGAAAGACTATACGCTCGGCTTAGCATTGCTTACTAACATTCGGAAGGCCAGGGTTCGAATACTTGTTCGACCAACATCCAAAATTATAGACCCATTGGGGTCGCGCCTCGGAGGTAATGTCAATCCTGACGGTCGCTATTTCTCATAACTCGTTCAAGCTTTAACACTAAGGTTCGCGCAACCGTTCGGCAAACGTAGCATTGTTATAACGGTGTAAGGCCGAATTACTCAGAACTAAAGAGATTTGTAATTTAGCCTTGACCTTTTCCCGCCAACCTCTCGACAACTAGTACATACCCTTTGTATTTTATACTCTTCCTTGCACACATACTTCTTCTCTTCTTCTTTCCTCTTTACTAGCCAACACACCGCCAACGCGGTTATAGCCGAGTTAGCGACTGGGAGCCCCTCATTTCTCCTTTACGCTATTTTGGGCTAATTGCAACCAGGTCTCTCCAACGAATTCGATGTCCCCTCCTTCTTTGCTTCCAGCGGCGGGTATTGTAGATAAAAGAACTAGATTATTCTCATCCATCCATACCCTATAACCTAGCCTACATGGCCACTATCTCTTGTGTCGCTAAATTATGTCAACGTCGCCGTATATCTTGTACAGCTCATTGTTCTATCGGCTGCGGTATTCACAGCAGCCAATGCGCAGAGGGCCATAAATATTTCGCAAAACATTTCTCTCGAAAACTCGTAACGCCGTCTCATTAGATGTTGTTCACACCTCCGTACCTTATGGCAGGACGGAGATTACGAGCGACTTGTTGAGTTTGGTTTTTATTCGGATGATTTGGATCCGGATTATTTTTCCATTGCCTACTCAGTACGAGGAGCAACTGTTGGAGAGACTGATTCTATGTTGAGTCGCCAATGCGATGACTGTTTGCTTGATGACAGGATTTCGCTTTGCCCTCGTTCAAGTCTGGAGAAAGCAGAAGGCATGGCGTGGACATAAAAGATGTAGTCAAGCTTCTGGTTATACAGTTGCAGTCGCGTCCACGTCGCGCGCACTAGAAACGTGAGCAACCTTTTTGTAAGATGCGGTTACCAACACGTGTGAACCCTTGAGTCTCGGTTAAGCTACTCCTCCATGTTCGGTCAAATGGTTCACTAAAGTCTAATTGCCTCGTCTGTTCACTAGAGGTCCGGCAACGAGCGGGCTTAGGTCTTGTGCCTTGCAGCTCGCTATATACAAGTGTGCTAAATTTAAGCATGCTTTGTCAATTTGAGGTTATGCGTCTAGATGTGTTTCCAACAAATGGAGGGATCTATAGTTTATACTAAGCCGCCTCTGAACCGCTGATGGTTTTTTTATTAGGAGCTTTTATTTCATGTCTGAAATACACTCGGAGGCGTTGACATTCCCTGCCGAGGGGCGATCGCAATTAGAAAGATCAAGATTTGAACCCACGCCTTCCACTCAACCACCGCATTCCCCAGAAATCAGCTCCAATAAAAAAAACAACAGCATCGGATGAGAGACCAGACGTTTTTATAACGGTTAAAGTAGTGGGAAGTCAGCGAACTCTCCCAAATGTATGGCAATCAGTATTTTTACCAGCGCCAGGTGGACAATTCAATTCACTCGCTTACCTTCGTAAGCATCTGCATGCATACATATATTCTTAGTAATGTCGTCATTTGCTTAACATAAATACAAATGTAAATCTTAAGAACATTTCCATAATTTACGCTGTGCAACCTTTGTTTAGCTCCACCAAAGCCGAATTTAGACACCGCGTCACCCAATTTCGAACTTTAATAAAGCAGAAAAAAACACCTTCAATTAAGAAAAAAATATCTACGTTTAATTGATTTGTTTTGAATCGGTTTATAAGCATCTCATGAATATTGCTTAATTTATTGTTATCGGTTGTTCATGATGTAATGAGTATTGTTTGGGATTTTGTGTGAAATTCCTTATCTTTTTTCATTTACTCTCGTATATGGGTATGTACATGTATGTACTATGTTTATAAGTGCTCCGTAGCGGTATTTATAGGAAAATACTAATAATTACGCGCTGTGAAAATTTCAGTGTAATTATATTAAATAAAATATAATAGTTCTGCAATTAAAATCAAAGGGAATCTTTAATTTTAAGACGCAATAGAAATTTAGTGAATTTGATTTTATTATAAGAACCCGCCCAAAGCTTCCTGTGGCTTTATGGATTTTGTTAGATTTAGATTTTATTATTGATCCAGCTATGTACGAGGGGATTAACAAAAGCTCGTTAAGTTGGCCAGAAAAAATAAAACAAAAAAAAATATTTTTGTATTCATTTGTAATTTTTGCCCTTTTTTATCTTCTCTACATAATCGCCATTGATTTGTATGCATTTCTTAAGCCCATAGATCCACTTCTGAAAATAGTTTTCAAAATCTAACTTTTTAAGCTTATCAAGTTCAGCATTAACTTTCTATCCCCGCATTAATTATCTCCTCCTTTAACATTCTTTTTTTTAATTTTTAGAAATCACAAGGTGCTGTATCCGGAGAATATGGTGCTGAACGTATTTCTTCGACCCCAGAGATCGCAACAAAAATACTCCTTACTTCAGCAGTGTGGGATGGCGCGTTGTCAAGATGTAAAAAGTTGCGCCGCAAATACTCTTTCTTCCTGGTAAACTTTTGCATTTGCCGTCTGACCCCTTTCCAGTTGAAAAGCAGCTACGATTTCAGATCCGGTCAACTAAACCTACATCATTACTTTTGCTGCTGAATTTTGTTACTTAGATTTTATGGGCGGGTTTGTTTCTGTTGGACGCCTTACTATGGACTGCTGTTTTGTGCCCAAGATTCGTCACCAGTAACGACTTTACAGAATTACTAGACTGACCATTTTCAAATTTCTTTGGGGAAAATTGTTGGGCCTCATTTAAAATTCATGGTATCCATCGAGCAGAGTTCTTCGTATATCCCAGATGAATTACTTAATGTTCGCGTTACAACCATGGCATTTAAGACCAATTTATTAGAAAACATTTCTTGTGTCAATCGTGGGTCTTCGTCAATTTTGGACTTCACCACAGCTGTAGTGACGTTATCAGCGGAAGATTTGGGTCGACCTTGTCGGAAAAATGTCCAGTCTGGTATTTTCAGAACCACTTACAGATAGTCTTTAAAGACGGTGCCATCGTTCCAAGTGAAATTTGGCATTCACTGAATATATTTATTGCTGAAATCCGAAGGGAATCACATGGCGAATTTCTGTTTCCATTAGTGGTGGAATTTCGTCTGACCTATCCTCAGCTATCCACTGCGTTTTCTCCTTCCAAAATTTGGAAGGAAAAAGGAAACAAATTGAAATTCACCAACTGACCTAATTTTTGTTAATTCCCTCGTAGGTAAAGGGTATTTTCTAGACGTGTAGCTTTTAATGTTAGTTGATGTATACTCAGTTTAGCTTGCCATTTCATAACGAGCAGAGACTTACTCCGGTTTTCAAATCGTGCAAATTTATTATCAAATAACTGGTTTTGTACCATAGACACATCGCGTGCTGCGTTCAAAGTTCGGTAGACATAATTACCCAGAAGAGTAGGTAATTCGAGCAGCCATTGAGGGATTTCGCAACGCGTTTATTTCAGTGCGGGCTGCGCATCCTCAGAGACGCCATATACTGCGCACTGCTGTGAAAAAGAGTATCGATGAAGACCCGAATAAGTTTATCCACCATCACGCGCAACAATTGGAGCTTTGCTCATTCACTTGTTGGCAGATTTGCGGAAGAATCTTAGTTTGAGGGATTACAAAATTCAATTTGTGGAAAAATTGAAGCCGAACGACCATCAAGTGCATCGCACGTTCGTAGAATGTGCCCGAAAAGAGCTGGCCACCCATTCCGATTTTCCCAACTAAATGTTTTCAGTGATGAAGCTCTCTTTTAATTCGATGGGTACGTTAATGAACATGGAGTGATCATAAACCACAAGCCATTGTCGAAACACTGTTATATCATCAAAAAGTTGGTCCGAATTTCTTCAAAAATTAATCCGGTTATAATGTATCAGTAAATGAGGAATAAGGAATAGAACCATTATTAGTGACCATTTCGTGCCTAAATCGGAGCATATTGATGTGGACGACATTCTTTGGTTTCAAAAAGACGGCGCTATATGCCATACAATCAACGAAATAACCAACTTATTAAAAGGAACTTTTGGTAATCCTCATTATTCTGCATCGTGAGCTTATGACGTAGTCTCTAATATGGTGAGGCTGAACTTTTTTTTGTGGGTTTGTATGAAGCCGCTTGTCTACGCAGATAAGCCCGAGACTATTGACGCCTTGGAAGAGATTATTCGGGGCGTCATTGCTGGCATACCGGGCGAATTTCTGCAAAAAATGGTCGAAAATTGTGCCTCTCAGCTGGATTTTGTTTTTATACTTAAAATTAAGCTAAATTCTTGGCTAAAACGTTATAAGCGTGTTTTTTTTCGATTTGAAACCCACATGTCTAAAATAATACCCTTATTATACTCGTAAATATATTATTAAAATTTTCAAAATAAATATTACTTTTTTATCAAAAAGATCATCTGTTAATATATTTGAATTCCTAAGAAATATTGCAACAACAAAGGAATGAATATATATATATATATATAAGCAAAGAAATTGCTGTTGACATACGGTCCACTTTGTTTTCTTCACTCAACTAATGTGGCACCCATGTATCGAGCTTCAAAGTGTACCCAACCTATTTTAAACGACAAAACGCAGTTGATTTGTTGACGTTCAATTCACTGGCAAACTCTTCCGTTGAAATACGTGAGTTATTCGCAACTAAAGTCCTTAGAACATCGTCATCTAGCTCAGAAGGCCGTCCACTGCGAGGTTGATCTTCGAG